ACAAATCACCCTCCCCCGGAGCTGTCTTTTTTGCGTTTTTTCCCCGGGGGGAGACCCCTCTTCATTACCTTTAGTGGCTGTCCCCCGGAACGTGGGAAAACTATAGGGGGGGGGGCGGGCCCCCCCCCCACAGACCCCCCAAAAACGCCCCCCCCCCCCCCCCCCCGCCAAGAAAAAAATGAAACCCATTTCTTAAATTGGGCTCACCACAGGCCGCCCAGTTAATAACGTGCGGAAAGTGTTTTGTGTATCGGAATGTAGTACTGGAATGCATGTCCAGGTCCCTTGGTCATTGAAATGTAACGATTGTTTTTGTCACGTGACAGCCAGAAAACATTCATCAAGGGTAGGCATACTACCATTCCAGTTGCATTTGGAAAGTACTTAAGGTAGGTAAAAACAACACCAATAAAAATGCTCAGTAAAAGTCTTTTTTACCCTGCCTGCAGAATCCTTAAAGAAAAAATACGGAAGTGACGCGTTTCTGGAACTCGTAGTGAGGCTTGCTCTGCCAGTGAGTAATCCAGGCCTCTTGGAGAAGCTGATAAATAAAAAAATAAAAAAATACTTGGTCACGCAAAACGTTACCATGGTGATGTTAACTCTCAAAAACACTATCTTAACAGGGTTAATGCAATAACCACGTCTCACTCTTGCCACATGATTTTCTTATGGAGATAGACCATCCCCTTATATTTCAGAACAAAAAAATGGCAGACCCAGCCCTTAATATACCTGAGTCGATTGGGATTTCTACATTTTTTTTATCGGATTAGTAGAAACTTCGTCGAGAAGGTCTTTTTAGTCTTAGTTTGTATGTTCTATATGTGGCTCATCAATAGCTGTATCGTTTTATTGTTTTTCCAGGAAACATCTTGGTATCAATGATATTTAGTATCAACGGAGACAACAGGCGGTTGGCTACACTGCAGGGCTGTCAACTCTCCCGGATAATCCGGGAGACTCCAGATTTTGAACCATTTCTCCCGGTCTCCAGATTAGAGTCTGAAATCTCCCGGATAATCGCCGAAGCTCGCCATTTCTTGTGGATTCGACTTTCGCAAAATGAAATTTCAAATATTTTGCCTTATTTGAGCTATTTTACTGCTAACATTGAACCGTTTCCTCACAAATTCCGGTATGCCGTTGAAATATAAGCAGTCAGTGTGATTGGTGGGAAGTAAACCAATTAGGTCAGATGTTACAATTCCAACAACATCTTTTTTGCGCGTATTTTTTCACAAATGACGTCATGCGCCGCGTATTATGACGTCATCTATTCTGTCTTCCCCATTAATTCTTAATATTTGAAGGCGTGGGGGGGTTGACAGCCATGACACTGCTAGTTTAATATTGTTTTATTCTTAGACCAGACTTATTGTCCCCGCAGGTTTCGTCGCAGATGGCCAAAGCCCGAGGAGGTACCCTACAAGTCCCCGCGTATATAGGGAGGAGAATTTTGCCGTAGCAGGAAAAATCTCCATTTTTGAGAGCACGGGTCGCAAAGGATTGCCGAAAAGTGCGCAAAGGATTGCCGAAAGTTCGCTGGGGGTAGAATAAACACGTGAAGGGTTCTGGGAGCGGAGTCTATGGTTGTTTACCATTTACCACAAATTTCAGGAAATTCTAGTTGGGATGTAAATGGTAAACGTTTTTTTGTTTCGTCCCACTGGAAAATTCCCGGGACAAACGGAAATTCTGAAAAGGAAGTCCCGTTTTCCCGATTGGGACGTTCCGAATGGAAATTTGTTTACCATTTACAAATTGGGACAATTGCACGATGTCGTCATTTTACTACAACTGCCAGAATCCTTCAGTTTGCTATTTTCTTGTGCAAATTAAGCCTATTGTCAATAAACCTCAGTGGAATTGACAAATTTAAATAAGAGAACAAAGACGAAATGAATTCTGGTAGTTGTAGTCAAACATCGTCATCGTGAAAATGGCCTGTTCGTACTAGTTTCATGTTGTAACTAGAATCCAGTCTAGCGCGGCGCGACAAACCGGAAATTTTAGGCAAGTGGTAAACGACACGTACCGTTCTTACCGACCAAAATTTCTGAACCAAAATTTCTGGATTTTTTTTTTATGAATGGTAAACAACTAGTCACGCTACGAGGTTCTGAAGTCCACTAAGGTAAGTGTGTATAGCTTTCTAGATAGATTTAAGTTTATTTGTTGAAAAATCGCATCGAACTCCATTCGATCTTGAGTCTAAATTGTGGAAACTCGTATTGCTCATCGAGGACTTTGAGGAAACTCGCATTGCTCGTCGATGTCTTTGACCGACAGACACGGTCACTCTTGGATTTTTCAGACATAAGTCAAACCTAACTGGGCGCGAAAGACTCGCACCACAATCTTAAAGTATTTTCAGTTATTGAGAAAAGGACAAAGAACTGGTTTAGTGACCCATGGGTTGTGATATTGGCATGTTTTCAGAGTTCTAGAGGTCCAGAGGTCGCTTCGAAAACTCTTGTTCTGTGTATCGTGTCACGCGTCAGCGTAAATAAAGCTTATGTCACGTTTTGAATTTTCGTTCATACGGTATTACCTCAGTTGAAAGCTAAGTTTAATAATGCTGAAACGAAAAAGTCATAGTTTCATGAATTCAGCTTTAAGCATTCCTCGAATTTTTTCTTGTGCCTTGGATAGTTTTCTAGAAATAGCATCGAGTTTGTTTTTGCCACATTTATCAACTTTGACCGGCTGTGAGAAATGAATTCACAGAGCTTCTTTTTAACACACGCTCAAGATATATTGAGTCACCAGAAAACAGTAGATTGTTAAGAGAAGTCAAGGAACCTCTTTGGGCTTATTTAAGACAACAATGCCAGTCTTTTTTGGAAATGCATTGCAATGCTTGCCTTAGTCAGATTTTTGAGCAAAAGACCTTTGGCAAGCTTACTCCAGATGCAATGAATATCTTTTCATCTCTAAGAACCTTCCAGTCATTTTGTAAGACATGCCAAAAGGATGAGTTCTAAGTAGCTCAATTTTGGTAAATTTTGTGACTAGATCTGCGTTGCAAAAATGTGAGCTGAATTACAATTTCCTGGCCACAGTTTGTTTCTGCTGTTAAAACTTATCCTGGAAAGCTAAACTGCCCTGATTGTGAAACCCCAACGTGTGAACCAATTTTGACGTCCGTAGCACACTCAAAGTTTGTTTTTTATTGAATTCTCTCTAGAGCTTATGAATGTGATAAAGTTGTATGAAAATATAAATGGAGGCCAAAGGGTAAGCCATTAAGGAGTTAATGCTACTATTCTCACGTTAAAAACACTAACAATTTTGCAGGGTGTCCTTAGTTTAAACTCACATCAAAGTTTTCTCGCCACTTCGACCAATTTCAGGACCCATTTTTCACAATGAATTCTCGATCTTCTTGTTCCCAATTACTTTACCAAAAGCACCAAGGCACTAAAACAAAAAATCGGACCTCAGCTTTAACCACTTATCACTTATCTCACAATGTATCGCCTAGGAACGAATGATCAGTTTAAATGCATACAGTTGGAGATCTTCGTACATAAAAATGTGAACAGAATCCAAAAATGTATAATAATGAATACTGAAGGAACAATCGGTTTTGTTACTTCCTCAAGGTCAAAGATTTAATCGAGGATTGTTTGATACACGGACATTTATTGCTGACTCCCAGCTATTGTAACACAATAGTGCTCGAGAAATTTTTCTGGTGTTCACGGTTTTTTGAGTCAGTACATAGTAACAGGTTTTGACCCCTGGAAGTGATGACTCTGAAAATATTGACCCCTTGGTCTGATTTTCTCGTTATTCTTCTGAAAATAACGATATTCCGCTTTGGGAAGAAACAAAAGTCGTTCTAAGACAGTAGTAGCCACTCGACTTACACAAGTAGATATCGCGTGACTTATGAGTTCCTTGCGTGACATGTTTACAGGAAGTGACATGCTCAATGGTCACGCACGCAGTCAATCTCAAGAAGAGGTACCTGTAACAATGCAGAGTAACGCGGATTTCAATGCAGTGCAACAGAAGCTTGCTGTCAAGAAACCATTCAACAAGGGAATATTCAAGTACGTACTTCGTTAGGCGTTTGGCTTGTCAACGACCATTAAAAGGTGTTAAGTGGTTCACTAGTGTTTAGCTTGCGGATACACCCCTCTCTCCTCGCTCGCCGCTAGGGACTTTTCGCGGGAAATAACCCAAGTGGTGAAGAGCGAGGACAGACAGCTGTATGCGCGGGCTTTTTGTGGCTGTTTCCGCCGTGCCTAGTAGATATACGCCCTTAATCTGTTCTAAACTCTTTTCAAAGAGTTCGCCATGCAAGTTGAAGGTGGCAGGTCAATACCTTGAATATACTGTGTGGATTTGCGCGGGTCCAGTTTTGTTCTGGTAATGGTTCAGGACCTACACTTCACAAGAACCGTTTTCTTTCTGAACCGCTGCTCGTAGGGGTGGAAGCGTTGGAGCGTAGAAGCGTAGAAGCGTGGATGCCTGTAGCCTGCCAGTGCATCCCATCGCTGTCCATCGCTTGGGGCGTTTACAAAATTCCGTGTTGCGATCTGGAAAGAGGTGAAAGTTGCAGTTCGTAATGTCTGGTGGAAATGGTGCGCATCCCCTTGTGATCATTTGTGGTCAGTAGCTTTGATTGCTAACAGCTGAAGACAGATGGCCTTCTTCTTCTTTATCACCAGCCATCTTCTGTAATTTACCACTAACGGTCCGGAGGAAATTACTTTCCCTTAATCTTATGCGTATTTTGAGTATTTTAAGAGGTGATAAAGTCAAGCATTTTATCTTCACTCACTTTTCAGGATTGGAAAAGAAAGGAAAGGAGATAACAATTTATCAGACAGCGATGGCCTTTCCTTCAAGCACACGTATAATAGAGAAGTATTGATCGATTTTCCCCCCGAGCAGCGTAATCGACAGCTTGTCAATCACTACGGGCAAGAAAAACCCTCCGACCGCGCCAATAGGCTGCCGACTGGCAGCAAAAAAAAACACGACGTCAGGAACAAAGGCTACGACGAAAAACGACCAGCTCCGATGTTGAAAGTCGGAAGAATAAAAGTAACTAGACCTACTAGGGTTTAATACGCATGACTTTTTGTTTGGTACTCGTGAATTCAGATTTCGAACAAGTGATAGTTGAATACAAAGTAGATTGACTGTTTTAGCTCCAAAAGAGTTGCGCTCTTTGTTTTTAAGAAATCATTTACATCACCACGAAACTGTAATACTAAGCTTAAGCTTAAAGCATTAGCTAATGATATTCAAGAACTTGCACAGCATTTTTATTTTTGTCAAATATGACCTTTTAGGTCCTAAAAGTCCTCTTGAAATTGTAAATAAACCAAAATCAATTTCTTTTATTAATATAGTTCTTCAAGCCCAGAGTGAACTAGGAATATTTTGATACTTTCAGCAACTCGTAATTTCGTACACGCATAAAAGTTTCAGTTCTCGTTATTGTCTTGTCCGTTCATCGTTTTTCTCCGGGCTTGTCGAGTCTTTGCTTAGCGATTGTACTGCAGAAACCCGTTTACTCGAAGCATTGACGTCCTAAATGTTCCAGCGAAAAAATCTGATTTGTATGGACGGGGTTTCGAGTGGTTGGGGTTTTACAGTGTACCTCAGTTTCAATAAGTTATGTGTTAAGTGAAATGAAAGAGAGATTAAACAGTAATGTGATAACCAAGCGGTAACAATAAGCTGAAACTCATGTGGTACATTCGATTTGAAAATTGTATTGATCCTAAATAGCTGATTATTTTTCCAGAAAAGAAAGAAAACATATTTTGCATTACGTTTTTGTAAAATATATCTCTACCCGATCTGTAAATAGCAATATACCTCAATTAGAATCAAGATGGTAGGATTTTTTTTCTTATATTTATACCAACTGATATGTATGCAAATTTAGCTCGGTTTGTAATAATTGCTTTGTGGTTTAAGTTTGATCACAGGTTATTGTCGCCGATATCGACGTTGTTGGTCGCGTTTATCTAAACTGATTAGAGATGCACCAATATTAAACGCTTATTTTCTAAACGTTGTGGTTGAGTTTTTTGCTGGAAAAGGGGGTGAATGGATGAAGAGTGAACTTGGCCGGCATAAACCAGTTACGCCGCTAACGGGCTTAATGGACCACAAAGCTCCTAGAGGGTGTTTTCCTCTCCCTTCACAAGCTAATCCTGTTGACGTGCACTCTCAATAGATATACCGTCACTCGGTTATAGCTCAGTTGGGAGAGCGACAGTCTGCCGGGTGCCGAGCGGGAGGACTTGGGTTTGAACCCCGCCTTGACCAACAACCAGAGTCTTTTAAATTCGCAAGATCATACTGGTTGTGAGTTATGATCTTGTCTTAGTTCAGATGATCGCGTAATTGGGCGGTGACGTCAAGCCGTTGGCCCTCATCCTGTCTTATCAATTCGAAGCCGACGTAAAGGCTCTTAGACTTGTCGAAAGCTCTCGGTAGCATCGAGCGTTATAGAATCCTTTTGAGGAAACTTCGAGGTTTGGGACTCTCCAGGAATGCGACTGAGTGGTTCAGAAGTTACTTGAGCGGCAGAACAAACTAGAGTTAGTTAGAACTGGGATGTGTATCATCCACTGGCGTTCCACAAGGCTCTATTCTGGGTCCTGCGCTCTTTGATATCTACGTTGTTTATCTGCCATCAGCTGTCCCAAATGCAGCCTCACTGAATTGTTATATTGATTATTCGCAATTCCTTATGTCATTTCCTGTCGGAGTGACCAGCGTAGTTAAGGGCTCAGTTAACAGAGGATCTGCGGGAGATTTTGCTACCTGGTTTTCAAATGGGCCGCTTGCTTATTAACTCAGACAAGTCAAAGCTGCTGTTACTGGGGACACCTCAGATGGTTCAAAGGATGCCTCACCTCAAGACTTCTGCGTCACCTGTGACGAAATCCACCACAACAGTGAGTCCTCTCTAACGGAAAACAAAGAGCATAAACGATCTCGAGAAAACACGTACCAAAATAATATAAATTAAAATAATACTCCAAAACCTCTACAATTTTAAAATTGACTAAGCGTTCCTGTATACTAGTTCCACTAAACGATAAAAAAGAGATTATTCTTCTAAACTCTAATGACTTATGCAATATTCCTAATTATTAAAAACTGAGTCATTGGATAGTGAAATTCTAGAGCTCTGATTGGCTTAGCTATCATGGTATATGAGCCATCTACCACGCTCCCCAAATATTAAAAACAAGTTAAAATTAAAAATTAAAAACAAGTTAAAAATCGGTTGTTTTTACGAATATAGTCGGGAAGAATTCTCGATATTTTCTGGGCGTTTTTAAGAAAACAATTATTCCACTCGCGCTTGTTGGATATGAGATGATTATAGCCAACTCGGTGCTACGCCACTCGTTGGCTATCACAATCTCATATCCAACGCGCACTCGTGGAATAATTGTTAACTATTAAGCACAAAATACAAAGCGATTTTTAACCACTTAATCTAGTACATATTTACAACTTATTTCTTTAAATGCAAGTTAACTTTTCTTTTTTTGTTTTTCAGTTCACCTTACGTATAAACAAAGAGTTCCTCGTCTCTCCTTTAATCCACCACGCCACGACTTCTTACGTTCACAACACCCCTTTTACCTGATCAAAAATCTGCCAGACTTCAGTAACTCTGTCTTAGGTCAATTCTTTCCTCCAACTTGCCTTAATCTCCCACTTTGCTGCGGCTCTCCGGATTTATACTGTTGTCCAGGTTTTCTGCAGCTACTCTCGGAGAAATTATTTACTGCCACCAAAAGTATTTCTTCGTATTGGCGTTCCGTCACGGTACTTTTGTTCCGTCCACGTCTTTTTTGGCAGCACAACTTGCTTCTCCGTTACAAATAATTCTTCGCTTTGAGTTTCGGAGTCGCTTCTGCTGAAGAGTTCAGTAGTGACTGTGCTTCCTAAAGTTTCTCTCCTTCGTACATAAACACACACTCCGTACAACTTTGCAGCAATGTCAACTCCCTTTTAAGACCTACGATTTCAAAATCCTATGCAAATGCAAGGTGTCGAGCGAAAGAGCTATTTAAAAAGTCTAATAATTAACAGTTAGAACGGCTTACAATCATTATGGCTTTTAAGACATGTACTAATTTACATTAGTAAAATCCAACTAGTGGTCTATTATCAATCTATCCTTATCTGCGTTCTGATTGGTTGAGCTACTATACTAGGCTATATATTATAGCCTACTATTAGCAAAAAGCGCGCGCTTTTTGGCTGCCAAAAAGGATTAAAGTCTAGCTTTAAGTAGCTAAAATTTTTTTATTCTCGATATCTTTTACCAACTAGTTGGATTTTACTAAAACAATTATTCCTCTGGGCTCGAGGAATAATTGTTAAATAGATCCTGATTAGAAATGGGATCACTCACCGTTTTTGGGAAACGAGAGATTTTTTGCTCAATTAAAGCGTGCGCGTGATATTGGGAAGTTTCATGCCGCAGACTTGCAAAGACGGCTATAAAATGTCCAAAACGTGTCATGCACCTGCAAAGTTGTCGTTTTGCTAATATAAACCTATTGCTTTTTTTGCCGTTCTCGTTGCCGTCGCCGTCTTTTTTGCTTTATCTCCGCATTACCTCCAGAGAACCTCACGCGGTTTAAGACTGAAGTGAACAATGGGACCAGAGGCACCTTGTTGTGGTGGTGGACCATCTGATAATTGTCTACTAATTATTCACTTCATATTTCAATTTTTACCACCCCCCAAACCCAAAATTTTCTCTTTTTCTCCAAATTTCAAACATCTCTCCCCCGCTAGATTTTACACATTAAAAACTGCATTCGAAAAATCATCCAAAACTTCACAAATAATTGTAACTTGATTGAGTTATTTTTGGATTGAACGAAATCTTGGCTAGTTATTTAAGAAAAATGGTGGAAATCAACGAAAAATAATACCTTTAACCGTACTGCCCCCTTAAATATAGAGTTGAATGGTCTTAAAATAAACCAAGGTAAAGAAGTATATTTTCTTGGTGTTATTTTAGATGTTTTTCATTGTCATGGAAACCCCATATTTCTCAGGTTGAGAGCAAAATCTGCAAGTCTGTTGTGGGGTGGGCGCTATTCGTAACTCGAGTTTTTGTGTTACTAAGACAGTTTTGTGTACTACAGTACTTTATACGATTTGAACTACATACGCATGTTATAACCGTAAACTTGTATGTACGTAAAATGGATCAGGAGACTTTAAAGTGTCCGCCTTAAAGAGATTCCCAGAAAGCGATTGAAGATCGGCGGAGAGGTGTCTGCGATTTGAGATCTAGAATTTTCGGAACATTTGTTATAAAACTTCTCGCTTGCCTCCTTCTCTTAGGATTTTCGAACATCTAAAAGATGGTATAATTGCCTATTTTTAACGGATTTTAACCCTAATAAGGTCAACTAGAATTTTCGGGAGCCTTTTTTCTGGCTGAAATTTTCGAAAACGTTAGTTTTGATCCCTACAATGTTCGGATCACTAGACTTCCAGCTAGGAAATCCGAACAGATGAAAAATTATTAGGGGATAACAATATGCCTATATCAAGAGACTATAAAGGGGACAGAGAGGCCATCCCCCATATACACCCTATTCCATAGGTAATTCGTCTCGAGTTATTTTTAGAACCGCAGAACCCAAGGGGGATTGGACAACAGCCAATCACATAGCGCGAATGTATTCCGCGAGGACGACCCACGCTAGAGCCACGCGTCCTCCACGAATTGACGCGGAACAAAATGGGGGAAGACGCGGAGAGCGATTTTGCTATTCCTTTTGTCGACGAAAACGACTACAGCGAGATTTCTGCGAAAGCTGTGTCAGCGAAACCGAAATTAAAAAAGAATCGCCCTTCCTCTCTTGTATAGAGCTAACAGTAGAGCAGGGAAATCCTTAACACACTGAATATTCTCTCAGGATCATTTATAATTTACAGTTTGAAGAGAGCAATTTCTGGTTTGATGTTTATTTTTTTCAGTCTTTATAGCGATTATTCCTACCCACTTACTTTGTCAATTGTAGGCGAACCCTCCTAAAGCTGAATTTCAAGGGACCATATTCAAGCTCAGAAAGAGAAATAAAATTTCGTCGTTGCTTATTTACGTCCTCCATAAAACGCGAAATTAGGCATTTTCACGTCGTAGTCGTGCAAAAACGGGAAAGAAATGAACAAAAAAGTGTGTTGCACGTGCGAAGTTGTTGTTTTGCTAATTAAACCTATTGTTTTTTTGACGTTCTAGTTGTCGTCCGCGTCGTTGGATCTTAAACTCCCTAAATTGTACAAACGACCGGTTTCAATAGACCGGCGAAATTTCTCATTTTATTAAAGCACTGAGGTTACGACAACTTCGAGTTAAACTGATTTCACGGGTTGTCAAAGAGTCCAGCGATTCCTTTTTCCCAGGTGAGCGCCGACTCATTTCGCTTCAATATTCAGGAATGCTCTCGATCTTTTTACGCTTTCATTGCCTCTCGCTCGACATGTTTTGCACGGCGTTTGGTCATGCGAAACCTCCACGAAACATCCACGCCTCGCGCGAGGTAACTTCATCCCGATTCTAAAAATAACTCGAGACGAATTACCTATGGAATAGGGTGTATATGGGGGATGGCCTCTCTGTCCCCTTTATAGTCTCTTGGCCTATATCTACCGTTTAAATACTAAACTACGTTTAACAATGCTATGTTTTAGTGGTTTTGAACTATATTCTCGTTGGGTGCCCCTGGAAAATGAGACTGCTCAAGTCCACCCCTGTAAAAATGGCATTGTCATCGTGTTTTCTTCGGGCGGGTTTTTTTCTTCTTTTTTTCAGATGAAAAGATGGATAATATAACTCCGTTTCCTTTATTGGAACTCAATAAATGCTAGTTATAACTTTAAAACCGTTTCCAAACTTCTTCACTAGGTGTATCGCTTTTCTTACTCAGTCGAACCGGTTACGTACTAACAGCAAACTCAGTTTAGGCGTAACCACGAATGTGCGATGTGAATATATATAGTGTGGCCTCTGGGAGACCTACAATTATTACATTTTTTTTAGCCATTATTTGAATCCTTCTCTGCCTTTTCTCCTTTCGTGTCAGTTCATTTTTTATTCTTATTTTATAAGTTCAGTTTTCCTGTGTTATCACCGCATTCTCCTTTCTTCTCTTCCTCATTTTTCAGTTCTTCATTCTGTTTTTCCTCTTTCTCTGCTGCCCCATGTCTCCATTTTGTTCTTCTGTTTTGAAACCAAACTTTCACCTGTGTTTCGGATAAACCCAACATGGTCCCGATCTGAAGCCGCTCTCGTTTGGTGACGTACTTGGTTGCTTGGAAACGCTTTTCCAGGCCTCGCCGCTGCAGCTGCGTGAAGACTGGACGACACCAAGGACGGGTGGAAGTGCGCATGGGCGGAGAGTAATAAAAGGGCTGATGGGTAATAAAATTAAGGCCCTTATTCCACGAAAACGGGCAATGGACTTTTCTTTGATCTGGATTAAAAAAAATATAAAATAAAAATTAAATAGAATAAAATAAATTAACGTACGGGCCGGAAGGGTAGTCAACACGGAGACCAGCAACGTTACGCCTAAGAACGAAAAAGGACGCCGTAGGATTGGTACTTAACATTTTTACATTGCTCAAGCGTAAATAAATAGCCAAGAAATTGACAACTTAATATTATCTTTATGACCTACCCCCAAGGTCGCCAAAGATGGTTTTTTTCTGGGCCAATTCAATACTGCAAAGCTGTCAACCGACTTTACTATTGTAAGTCAGTTTAGTTGTAGTTTTAGGCGAAAAAAACAAAAAAACAAAAACGCATCTTTAACGACGTTGGGGGTAGTTCATTCCATGAAGAAGGACTTAAGGATAAGATTAAGGTATTAATTTCTCATTTTTTGTAATCTACAATATCAGGTAAAAATTGTAGTTAATTTGCCTTTGTAAAAGAAACTTGACCATTCGGTTGAAGCAGGAAAGACTGACTGTAAAAGAGATGCAGCTTACGCCAAATGTTCACATTTTTAAAGAGTTTGCTGTCTACGTTTTTAGGAAGGACGTGAAGGTAATTTCGTGCTAGTGGCCTCCACCTCGCACTTTTCCCAAAGACGGACAGAGGCGTGGTCGTCAACAGGTTTTATGGGGAAAATCTCTGTCTAGATAGAACTGCTGAAGTTTTCTGAGAATAACTAGTTGCATCAGCCAAAACATTAAACAGTCAAAACATCGAACGGGTTGCATCGCATTTAATAAACGGCCATAGACTAACTCTAAACTGGCGTACTTGAACAACGGAATTTTTTAAAAGTTAAGCAATTTCACAGCATACAGTTACTGAAATTGCGTTCCTTGATTAATAACCAAAGTTAACCTTCTAGGTAATCTTGATTGGACTGTTCATTGTCCGCATTATTCCCAAGGTTCTTGAACTGTCCGTAACAACGAGGTGTCATGCATGTATTAAGTTCATCCATAAATCGAGGTTCGACTGTTTTACCTGCAACACTACTCGAGTTATTCCTGTTTCTATATGGCTTATCTTTTTTAGTCTTCGCCAGATTAATCTCGTACCATCACCATTTCTTTTTAGTATGACATTAATTTGCCAACGTTATTCCACATACCAGATTAATCAGCATTGCTACTCATTTGGACACTTTTTTATTTTTGAACAACAAATGGGAATTTTACAGTTTGTCGAGGATACCGTTGTGTTTTAAAAAATTATTTTAGCGGAACTTTCTCTGAAGATAAAATTCGTGACTACTTTATCGGGGAATCTCCCAACGCCCTGAATATCTTAAAAGAATAATAAACGAGGATCTTTAAAAGGCGTGGTTAGTCGTGGATTTAAGAAAGAGGTCGAGAGTTAATATCCGTATAAAAAAGGCCTGGTTATTCCTTGTATTTTACAGTTCAAATTAAACACTCGATCATATGACGATGTTTGCGATATCATTAGTACCTATTTCTCAGAAAAGATCCAGTTTCAAATAGATCCGCATAATAACAACTTCTGTTGGCCAGTTTCCTAGCAAAATATCCGTTTTCAAAGTTCATAACAGAAGATAAAAGTATCAAAAGATTATAACCTCATTAATTGTCCGTCGTATACTGTAACCACTTAATGATGCATGTGCATACCAAACTAAAAAAAAAATAGACTAATTGGGATTTCTACTTTTTTTTTATCGGAATTAACTTACAAAGGATGATACCTAAGGGAAAGTTCATTTAATATGACAAGGGGGGGGATGAAGATATTGAAACTCGAAGCTTGCAATTTTAGCAGCCCCCCTCGCTAGCGGTTCAATTTTTTAGGAGCCCCCTCCTTGGTAGTCGAAAAAATTTCAGAGCCCCCCCCCCTCCTCCTTCAATTCCTTTGCTCCCCTGAAAAAAGATCGCTAGACTGTATTAAATATATTTACCGTTATTGTCTTCAATGGTTTATACTATGACAAACTTGAGATACAGTTGTGATACAATTTTCTAAAGCATTTTTAGGATGAACAAGAGTGTAATAATTACTGAGACTACATTTGGTATATCTGTAAACCACGTGATATAGCTGAGTTGCACAGGTCATTAAATTGTTGAGTTGAAAACCANATCCCCCCCTGTCATATTAAATGAACTTTCCCTAAAGATGAGTAAACACTTCACCGAGGAGGTCATTTAAGTCTTAAGTTGGTTGTTCTAAATGTGGCTCATCAATAGCTCTATCGTTTTATTGTTTTATACAGGAAACAGTTTGGTATCAATGATATTTAGTATTAACGAAGACAATGGGTGGTTGGCTACACTGCACGGTTTAATATTTGTTTTATTTTTGGACCAGACTTATTAGTAGGTATTTTATTATTATTATTATTATTATTATTATTATTATTATTATTATCATTATCGTTATTTCATTTAGTAAATTTATTTTCATGAAATGATCGCCCCTCTAAAAATTTAAGGTGATGCGAACTTTTGTTTTGGGTGTTGGTTGTTTTTTAATCGCGTTTTTCGGCATGAACGGTTTAACTAATTTCTATGATTTCTGGGTTAGAAGATAATGTTATGTATTTCTTGTAGGTATAAAATCATTTGAGATCTCGGAATATATTCAAAACCGCATTTTTACAAATAACGTTAATAACTTCGAAATTCTACGACAAATTTTTCCCTAACCTCAGCCAGGGCAAATAAGCCTCAGAGCTCTCTAGTTTGATATCTGCAAGTTTGAAGTCAACGATTGTCATATTTTTCTTCGTCTTGATCCTGCTGAAAGATAAATAGGTTCGCGCTGCCGTAAGCAACGGTCGATCGCGGACTGCCTATTGCAACGAAGTTAGAAAAATTAGTAGCGCTAGTACAGTATCGAAGATCTTTAGGTCGTGATCGCACCATAGTATCTAGGATTGAGTTCTTGAAATAAATATTGTTTCTGGCTGACATACTATATAATATCCTTAAGGAGTTAATGCTACTATTCTCACGTTAGGGGTATAACTCGACACAATAAAAACACTTAATAATTTGCAGGGTATTTAAACTCAGTTACAGGGAATGCTTGCATCAAAGTTTTCTCCCCACTTCGACCAAATTCAGGAAACATTTTCACAATAAATTCTCGATCTTCTTGTTTTCAATTACCTTACCAAAAGCAGCAAAACACTAAAACAAAAATCGGACCTCAACTTTAATTACTTATCACTTAATATCTTACAATGTATCGCCTAGAAACGAATGGCCTTTTTAAATGCATACAGTTGGAGATCTTCGTACACAAAAATGTGAACAGAATCCGAAAATGTATAATTATAATGAATATTGAAGGAACAATCGGTTTTGTCACTTCCTCAAGTTCAAGGAACTTGATCGAGGATTGTTTGCATGAAGACATTTATTGCGGACTCCCAGTTTTAGGTTTAAGAGCAAATGATGCTCTCACCTAGTCGCTTACAGATCTTACAACCCGCACAGAAACGAACTGCCTGTTAAAGTAAGTGTAGTTTGGACCGGATTTGATCGGATAGTTTTAGTAAAAGTCATTCGTCAACAAATGCACACACCACTGGTTCGAAGCTCTACAAACCGGTGAAATGGCTATGAGTTTAACCAGTTAAAGTTATAGTCTGTCCCCATTATGGTAACCATGCATTAAAGCTACAATGGTTGGTTTGTTACTTATTTGCTCACTCTAATACTAAAAAAGCGGTTCTGAAGGCATTTGACTTTGGATGACATGAGGTGCCTGTGGTAGCGTTGTGAGAGGCAAGGGGTGGGGTTGTCACAATCATGAATAGCCTTAAACCAGTTCGACACCTCTACACATCGCTGTTTCTAGTTTTACTGGTTTTAATCCAATCGCTCCACAGCTTTAGCGTTTAAAGAAAAACAAGAACTTGAATTATTCTTATAACAGGAAATTGTAAACAGAAGTTTATCTTATCTCGCCACGCAATGAACTACATACCCGGAACATAGCAAGTCTTTGCGCAATTTACGCGGAATAATAATGTTAACCTCGTCTCGCAGAAACCTCGCTGTAACGCGCAGGGACAGCTGGAAAATCCCCGCCGGGAAAAGTAACAAACCCTTGGCTGAAACAAACTCCGGTTATTTCGGACTCTCGCTATTGAGATACTTTCATTTTTTTAACTTAACCTAAAACAGACAGCAAGCTGCATATTTCAACATGATTCAGGCAACATTAAAAATATCACTTGTTTTTATCATCGTATTTGCTTATTTTAATCGACTATTAGGGATTTTCAATCAATTCTTCAGTTGCGCATCAAGTGAACTAAGCTGTTGAAAATGTAAACAACACGTTATTCCTCTAATGCAAATGTTTTCTGAGGAAATTCTTCTTCTTACATCCCGCTACTGCGGACATCTGATTGATCAAGGAAATTTACACTCCCGGCGGCAATCAAGTGCGCCATAGGAAACTGAGTTGCACATTTTACCACATTAACCAGCGGTTAACGGATGGGCAAGTCTGGGAGTAAATAACAGTCCAAATGACTAGCGATGAATCAAGTGATTTGATTGCAATCAAAAGCTCCAAAATACTCAGTCACGTTTGGTATTTTGTACACTACAATCTAGATGAAAAGTACTGGACAAATGAAGCTTGCTTGTTACTTAGTTTAATGTTATTCATGAACAGATCCCTTCGAAACCCGACTATACGCACTTCTCATGGCGAAGTTTACCTACCTTGTGGGCTATTCGTTCCGTAAAGTATATTTTCAATCCCGAACGTTAGTCTTTGGCATTTGCTTGGCTCGCTAGTGTTGTCTCTTTTCTCGTTCGCAAGAGCGCTGTGTGTGGCCGGCATCCCATCTAAAGATGTCCTATATCCGAGGGTCGAGGTAGAAACAGGACAATTCATTGCCTGAAAAATGCCTGAGCAATGCAGAGGATGTTCCGTAAAACAGTTACATTGTATAAAGGATGATGAATTTAGCATGCTGTGTCCGATGGCGACGCGTTCGCTTACAACTCAAATGACATGGCAGCAGTTTTAGCATACAAAGTCTGCGGTTCCTCAAGCTACTTACGGACAGCACATGATATGAGATAATACCGAGGCACGATTGACAGCTTTAAAATTGCATTCACTTGATCTTGACATCAACGTCTGTCTGAGCATAAGTTTTTTTGGCTATGTCACGGACATTCCAATAGCCGGATTTGACATCTTGAGTGAAACACGAATTCATTTGAAGAACTGGTAGGCAATTCTACCTTCGAGGCTTTTCTACTTACCGGTCAATATTAAACCAGTCCTTAAATACAAAAGGTACTAAAACTGTGAACATCCAAGCTTAACGGAACCCATCCTCATAAAATTGACCACATCAGATCACAGCCAGTTTGTTCACGTTTTCAAAGGTTCATATTTTATGAGTATCATGTTTGAGTGTTAAACAATCAATCCTCACAGCAATAAATCCAAGCTCATGTAATCTAATTTTGGTTCGACAGTGTTCCTTGACAACAATCAACTTAGAACGGGCTCATAAAAAAGACTTCTTTAAACGTATCCGAACGTTAAATTTCCGTTGAAATGACATAAAAGCATTTCTTGATGTCGCTTTAAATCACATCAAGGTCCCAATATTTTGAACTTTTTAAGTTCGGTACCGTACGCGTGAAATAAGACGCAGCTCTGTTCTCCAGAGATCCTCAATTGCATAATTACAATAAAAACTGTAAACCTTTTAGTACAAACGTACAACTTCAAACTACCTTAAAGACCGCTACAGTGAGTCGCTTTAATGAAGGGCCAAAGGACTGACAGAATTAGTTCGCTATAACGAGGTTTCGCTATGTCGAGGTTCTTTTTTATATATTTTACTATTGGGGTAAAGAAAATCGTTCGTTATATCGAAGTTCCACTGTATTAAATTGCACTTGTGAAAAACCTGTGTAGGGCGACAACCTCACTAGTAGAGGGTCTTGGAGGCTTAGAACGAGTAAACAGACTGAATAAACAGGGCAATTTAGCTAATGTCTGGCTGAAATACATCCTCAACAAATTGCGGTCAACGGCAAAATGCAATCTTGTGTTTGACTATTAATTTATTGAAATAATTTGTCATTTTTTGGACTTTCCTTTGACATGGTTCAACATCAGCGTTTCCTGAAAATGTTTTGTTATGTTGCAAAATTTTGAATGAGTACAAAGTTGACAGCAGGCTGCTTAGGGAACCTTAAGTCCAGGTATTTTAATATCTAGCTCTATTTTTTACGAGTTGGAATTGATTTACTCTTAGGCTATGTTAGGCCTGATCCTCGGCAAAAAAAGAAAACGGGGGCGCTGAATGGTAGTCTAGTGTTTACTGATGAACGAGACAGACACAAAACAAGATAAAACTGGATTACATGCTTGTGTAAAACTGAAATTCTCGTCGTGTTTTTGTAGCTTGTGTAAGTGTTAAAATAATAAATTGATCTTTTTTTTAAGCCCCCTTAAATTTAAGTTACTTTTTCTTAAACGTACATTAACGACCTCCTCCAACGCTTTCGTCTCCCTTCAGTCTCGGATTCCTTCAGATTCGTAAGGAAGGAGAGTCGGCTTAATTATGGATGGAATGCTTCCAAATCCTGTCTCTGTTACTGCTATGAAAAAATCCTTTTAAGACATGATGTCCCGTTCTAACGCTCCGCTAGCAGCATGTAAAGAAACTTTAAGGCTCTAACTCTTCTTTTGACAAGATGATGATGGTAATGATGGTTTCGAATGAGTACTACAGTATTCCCTATCATCATCATTACTGTTGTTATTATCATTAGATGACCATTACATTTTTATATGTTGGGAAGTTCTCTCTTCCATTTCAATTTTCAAATTATTCCTCTTCCTGCTCATTCTCTTCCTTCAGTTCCTCTTTCTGGACACAATTGTTCGTTTTTGTTGAGCTTTGCTCCTTTAATTGTTTTTCTTCTTTCTTCTCTTTCTTTGCTGCCTCATGTCTCCACTTTGTCCTTCTGTTTTGAAACCAAACTTTCACTTGTGTTTCGGACAAACCCAACATGGCGCCGATCTGAAGCCGCTCTCGTTTAGTGACGTACTTGGTTGCTTGGAAACGCTTTTCCAGGCCTCGCCGCTGCAGCTGGGTGAAGACTGGACGACACCAAGGACGGGTGGAAGTGCGCATGGGCGAGGTGTAAAAGGGCTGATGGGTAATGAAATTAAGGCCTTCATTCCACAGAAACGGAAAATCAGGAAAACGGAATTCCTGGTGTTCTGAAAAAAGAAAGAACTGAAAAATAAACTAAAATTAAGTGATCACTTGTGACCTGAAAAATGATTGTCACGTTTCGCGAACGTCCTGCAGCAATTTTGACGGATAATTGTTAATGTGCAAGAAGAAGAAATACCACTTAAAAGATGTCGCCAGTAATCTTTAATATAGTTATCACCTTCCCAAAGCAAAGACGTGCTCGAAAATGCATAAGTTTCAATTACCACAATTAACACGAGCCGTTCGTCAACCGCAAAACCAAGACAAACACATAAATCGCTCTGCATGCATTGTTAGCTTATCTCGGGTATCCGGCTTTACTTTCATTATAAGAATAAAATCATCGCTGACCTTTTAGTACCCTCAAAGAATTAAGCGTCCTGACAGAAATATTAGAATGGGTACCAGTTCTAAGGTGGTCGTATATCTGTTTTAATATCAACTCGTAACCAGTCGATCCATTTAAAGTCAAGACCGTACGTGCATTGAACGTCAAGACAGAATCTTCCAACACTTGCTGAGAATAAATGGTTAAAATTGACATATTTTGGCATTCCGGGCGTCTTGAGCTTATAAGATGTGAAGGGATATTTCCTAAAATCCCTTTTAAGTGGTGTTAACTACCCCCAATGTTGCCGATTTTCCCCCTTGGTCTCTCGACTGAATGAAAAATCCCCTTATAGAAGGGACTCTGTTTCTTGGGGGGACTTAACTCAAGTTCAAATGGTTAGAGGTTTGACTCCGTTTAGGTTCATAAAGGAATATTTGATAGCATGAACCGGCACAGTGAACCAGATCAAACACTTTTCTGGGGGTCTTGTCTAGTTATAGAGCAGGAAAACCAGCCGCTCAAGTTTTATTTTCGCGATATCACACTGACGACATGCTGATGAAGACTGCGGAGAGGCGGTCTTCGATTCTGGAGTTGAATAAACTTTTATCTGTATTTATAAGCAATACCAATATTCATCGCTCAAGCGCATAGTCAACCATATTTTGCAACCCTTTCATCAAGGGGCGGAACAGACCCTGTTTGGGTCAAACTTGCATAACATTGTGAGAGACTAGAAAGCGGGTGCAATTCCCCTTATATATAGAGTTAAATTAAACAATGTAATGTTCAGTGCAGATGAACAAACACAGAAATTCATTTAAGTGATCTCAGTATAATGAATTCCGGGATTACCACGTGAGCGGGGAGTGATTTTAAAACCTTCGACAGGCCGGGATCAATGTCAGTCGATCGAGAAGCCGAATGATCACCATCCAATTCGTTTTAAGAAGATTTCACTTGCTAGGCCGATTTCATCAAATATCACTTTGCAGGTATTAACAAATTTTAACACGCAACTTTTTTTATTCGTACCGGGAGATAAAGACATTTACAAATCTGAGCATTTATTGTAGTAAATGCTGTACCCAATACATCCGATCTTTGACAACAAGTTTGCGAAGTTTTTGGTTTATGTTTTATTTTATTTACATGTCATGGATGTAGTACGTGCCCTTGCTCAAAATTCGTTTTGATAGCGACATTAGTCAACTGTATTTCTTACATCTCACTTGAGGAATCGATGCCCAAGGGCTGAACTTTGCAACTACAAGTCAGTAAGTTCGTTGACAGTCACAGTAGGAAACAGTGAGAAAATTCAAAAAGTTGACGATACTGTCGCAACTCAGAGAAAAAAATACTAAACGTTCTTTTGCAAAGTAACTACGTTTTTTAAAGAAATAAAGTTATCGTGACTGTGTTATCGGAGAATCTTTACATACAAAAAAAAGTCTGAAATAATAATAAACGCAGATCCTAAGGCGCGGTGGGGTTGCGGATATATGAAAGAGGTCGAGTGCTATTAAATTTTTCATTTGCACTATCAAGACAAATAAATATAATGCCTTCCACATTTACAGTGGCATTAGCTGAAACCAAACCCGGTCATTGATAAGAAATTTCTTATCAATTAACGATTACGTCTAGTTTTGAAGATAAAATGAAATTTCTGACCTGCCTTAGGAACGAATCGCTGTGAACTGATTGGCAAACAAAGAACCATGTGGACCCACTGGCCGAGGGAAGTAGCTGTTGTCAGTTTACGTTGGCCATTCCTTTTCTCATAAATTTGAATAGAATACGCTGAAACAAATTTCTTGACTATAACTGTACTAAAAAGGCCTGTTTTATATCCTCTCAAGACTATTCAACAAACAGATCAAACAATTGCTCCGTCTCGTTGCTAGCTAATAGTGTTGTCTCTTTTTCCAATTGTTTTGAGATTGGAAGCTAACACTCATTGACTCACAGTTGATAATCTTTAAAGACCACAAAATTACAATACAAGTCTTTGTGGTCTTTTTAGTTGCTGAAAAATTGTCCTCTAGAAAGGCTAAGCTTTTCTGAGTTGTTGCTGATAGTAACACAAGAAGAATCTTTTAGAGTAAAAATTTGTATATCTACTAATTCAGGAACTGAAAGAAATTAAAATCACTAAAATTTTTAAATTCTTATGTCGTGATTGCAGTATGATATGTCGGATTTGGTTTCTGTAGAGTATATAATTTTTATGGTTTAACGCTATAATGCCCTTGAATAATTAAGACTATTAACGCATTTTGCGGCTCGACATTATAAAAACACTTACTGTGTATGTAGGAATTAAAGATACAGTTACACGAAAGGCTTGGTCGAAGGTTACTCACCAAATTTAACAAAAATTCTTGTGTACTTTACTCTAGTAGGTTGGTGTTTGAACCCATTTCAAACGGAAGTAGAAAATGTTGAATTCAAATAAAGACAATTCAACAAATGCTTTTTTATAGCCTGTTCCAGGCGTTCAGACAGTAGAGCGCGGGAGAAAAATTCACGAAGAAACAAAAAAGAGGGGGAGACTAGAGGGGGAAGGGCTAGAAAACTTGGAAGTCGTGGTGAACAGACTGTCTGAAGGCAATTGGGTGAAAATAACGTTCTGAATGAATGATCTTCATGGATCATTTCGCCTGGTGGTACAATGTACTCCTTTAGACCCCCAGAATCTAATTCCACACTTAAAGTTAAAAGAAAATCAGTCTTCGATTGGAGGACTGATCTTCCTCTCTTTCTTTTGTAAGAGCACGGAGTCCAGCTGTTTTAGTGAAAAAGACGAACAGCTCGCAAGTTCACGGTTTATTTGATGGTCCCTCCGAAACTGCGTCTCATGAGACACACTCGTTGCCACTTTGCCAGGTCAGACTCACTTCAGAGCCTCGGTAGTTTTCTCGTTAGTACCTACTGTAAATTAAGAAAGTACTTCTTACTTCTGATGTTTTCAGCCCCGTTAAATGATTTAACGGGGCTGGGTGGGAAAACGGTTTAGCTCGGTAGTTTTGAAAAAAACTCAAAAAAAAAAAAGAAAGAAAAAACGGCTACAAAGCTCAAACCTCGCGTACTTCTTAGTTCATGAAATGGAGGTCTGCACACAGTCGTTGTTTGACCCTCTTGGACAGTCTAGGTTACTTGTTTATAGGACTTATTAGTTTGTTTGGAAGACCTCTCCGGCAGTAAGCTTTGTTTTTTGTTAAGCATAACATACATGCAAGAGTTTCAGTGATTGCTGATCCAGCACTGGAAAAAAGCGTAAGTTATATTGTATATAATTATACAAAGTTTTTTTCGTTATGTAATGTTACGAAAAGAGAACAACTGTCACAAAATACTATTGGTAATAGTATATCAGGCGCACCCAACGACTGTTTCTGTAAAATATCTGTTCGGAGAGGCAAATATTGCCTATTCTATTACTTGAGGACGGCTAAAGATTTCTAAATGACCGTTCCATTCAAGTACAATTTTCGAAGCTTATCTGATAAATTCTCTACGATTTTCTGAAATTTAATTTTTTTCACATTTCCTTCCTCAGGTAAGGCTCTTTTTCGTAGAAAACAGGAAACCTAAAATTTTCGAATTCAAAATGTGATGGAGAGAGGAATCCAAAAAATTATCACGCTCGTAATACGTTAAATTGCACCTAAGATTTTCGGGAATTATACGCTACTGAACCTCTTTCAATTTCGAAAAGACTCATTACAAGTTCCCTAAGGATGACCGAACAGATTCAAATTTTTTAGCGCAGTTTAGAATGCATTTCTAGAAATCTAAAAGTACTCTAGATAGCCCAAAAAGTGCTTTCAATGTATTTTTAGGAGGAAACTGTCCTTGGGTGCCTCTGGTATATAGCAATTAGATCTTCAGTGAGGGCTGGCTAATCCTATCTCTTTTTCTCTCTGCGATTCGGAGAAAGAAGCTCAGTCCTCTTCAGTGCATTCGTATTAATTAAGACAGTGCCTCAGCTGAACAGGACACAGTGTTGTCTGTAACCTTTAAGCCCCTACATAGATGTAATTCAGCTGAAAACTTCGTAAGCAGAAAATATCGGGGGACAACTATTACATCAAACAAAAAGAAAATTGTGCTCTGTTTCTCAATGATATAAAACGTCAAGCTACTGGACCCTACACGGCTTATCATCGCTCAGGATTTGTCGCTCGAAACGGCGAGCGATTTTGTTGTTCTGAACGGGTTGCAACCTGTTGAACCGGAATAGAGATCTATATTCTCGCTCAAGGCATGTCAGTTAAATGGCGTTTTTCAAAATTTGTCAAAGTTGTTCAACATTTGTTGAAACAGAGCTGCTACCGTTTGTTGGAACAGAAATCACTTGTGTACTGACCTATTGTGTGGATGAAATCTATTCAGATAAAAGCTCTTCAGAAGCACCTTATACTAATTCATTATTTTTTTTTTGGCTTTTCTAACATTTCAACCTTTTTTGTGACTGAAAGGCTTTGGTAGGGAGCCAGTTATGACAAGTATTCCCCTGAAATAAATTTGCTTGTCTTTTGTTTCTGAGAACTACTCGTTTCACTTGTTGAATTATATGCCGTCTCGCGTTGAATCCCTCTAATATTACATGGCTATATACATATCAATGATTCGT